GGGGGGGGAATTATTGGAGGGCTGAAATTGTTTTTTCTGTTATTTCAAGCCCTTTATTGGGCGTCTCAATGGCTCAGTCACACCCTTGGGGACAATTCCAGCCTCTCCATAAGTCTGCTGAGCAAAAAAGTCCTTTCTCCCTTCCCTGTGGCACCGCTGGAAACACGAGGAGGAATTTCCCACCCTGAGTGGAATTTCCCATCCCAAGTGGAATTTCCCACCCTGAGCATCCCACATCAGAGCAAATCCCCAGAGGATTTTCCCACCCTGAGCATCCCACATCAGAGCAAATTCCCGGAGGAATATCCCACCCCGAGTATCCTGCATCGGAGCAAATTCCCAGAGGAATATCCCACCCAGAGCATCCCACGTCGGAGCAAATTCCCGGAGGAATTTCCCACCTCGAGCATCCCACAGAGCAAATCCCCAGAGGAATTTCCCATCCCGAGCATCCCACATCAGAGCAAATTCCCAGAGGAATATCCCACCCCGAGTATCCTACATCGGAGCAAATTCCCAGAGGAATATCCCACCTCGAGCATCCCACGTTGGAGCAAATTCTCAGAGGAATTTCCCACCCCGAGTGGAATTTCCCACCCCGAGCATCCCACATCAGAGCAAATTCCCAGCGAGTGAGGCCGGGTCAAAGCAGGTCCCCCGGCAGCCGAAGGGGCCAGACAGCGATTAGCGAGGCTGCAGGAGGGTATCGATCCCCTGAACAGCTGCAGGGGGGGCTGTGGCTCCGCCGGGCCCCGCGGGTGTCCCTCTCGCTCCTGCCATCGACAGCAGGCGGAGTTAAAGCCCCGCAGCAGCGAGATAAATAAAAATCGATTCCTGTTTATTAGCGGAGCGTGTTGGGCTCGGCAGGGGAACAAATCCCAGGGCACTGCGGTGGGAAGGGTTGGAGGGGAGAACAGGCACAGGGAGCAGCAGGAGGCAAAAGGGGCTTGGGAAGTGGGGGGTCATCCTGGCAAGGGTCAAATCCCACCCCAGGGAGACCCAGCACAGCGTTCTCCTCCCTCCCCTTTGCTGCCCAGCCAAGCATTTTCCATATGGATCCTTATCTCCTCGACAGGGAAAGGGGGAATGGATTCAAACTGGAAAAAAAAATTAGGTTTAGGTGGGATCTTGGGAAAAAATCCCTCCCTGGGAGGGTGGGGAGGCCCTGGCACAGGTTGCCCAGAGAAGCTGTGGTTGCCCCATCCCTGGGAGTGTCCAAGGCCAGGTTGGAGCAACCTGGGACAGTGGAAGGTGTCCCTGCCCATGGCAGGGGGTGGAAAGAGATGATCCTTAATATCCCTTCCAACTCAACCCATTCCATGATTCTCCAAGTGTCCTGTCCTCACTCCCCATTTAAATTCCCTGTGCCCTTTCCACACCCAAATCCAATCAGCTCACTCCAGGGGGATTGTCCTTCACTAAAACAAAACCTGAAAAAATTTGGGAGCGAATTGCAAATGTTTTATTTGCAAGCAGGAATTCAATCAAGGAATTAAAGATGCCGTGGATTAATTAGGGGCCAGGCTCTGGTTGTTGAGTGGCAAATCCAAACCTGCCTCTCCATCAGAGCCCTCATAAATATTCATCCCCTAAACAGCAGATCGGTGCCACCACAGAGACAAGAGAGACCGAAACCCAAAACCACCGGAAAACATCCAACCCCGTCCCAAATCCCATAAAAAAAACCCGCTGCTGGGAGAGGGGAAGGAACAGCCCGGCTGAGCATTTGTCTCCGTTTCTGGGGGGATTCATCCCGGTTCCATGTCGGGAGGAATCCAGGTTGTCCAAGCCCTCCGGGAATGTGCTCCAGCTGTGCGGCACATCTGGGGCCGCCCGCGCAGCCCAGTCCAGCTCTTCGCTGCCGTTTTCCCCACGAGAGGGAGCTGCCAGCCCGTGGAATTCCCTCTTCCAGCCAGCCCACGGCGGCGATATTCCCGATAAACTCAGGTTTCCCCCCTGGAAAGGGCTGGAGGATCCTGCCAGGGCTGTTTTGGGATGGGGGAGAAAGGGTGAACCCCCTTCGTTCGACCTCTTCCCACCTCTGGGATGGGAAGGCACCGGGAGAAGGGAAACTGGAGCCCAGAGGTTTCCTGCAGGGACAGAGAGGGGCTGAGAGCTGTGACCCTGGAGCAGGGAAAAGCCACTTCCAGGAGGGAAGCTGAGCTGTGGCCCTGGAGCAGGAAAACACCAATTCCCAGGACAGACCAAGGGCTGGGGAGGCTGCAAAGCCTCTGCTGTGCCTGCAGAGTGTCCTGGGCAGCCCAGGAGGATGCAGAATCCCCCAGAAACCTGGGGGGTGCTCAGTCTTGCACCCGAAGTGCACACCCCAGGCAGGGCTGACCGAGGGCCAGGACACTGATCCAGCTGATCCCGTGGCCTCTGGAGCCAGCAAACCCTCCCAAAAAGTGCTGAGTGCAGTGGTGAACGAGCTCTGCCCTGGCAAGGGGCAGCTTTGACCTTCCAGAGACTCCCCAGCACATGCCATGGCACCAGCACAGCCAGCACTGGGTGCTGAGCCATCAGAGCCTGGCAAAGCCACTGCCTGGGAGGATTAAGAAGAGCAGGATTTAATTAGAATGCCAAGGAAGAACTGTCTGGGGCCCTTGCTCTTTTCTCTCCCATCTGCTCGTGCCTTTTGAGGCTGCTGGGAGCCAGCCCAGGTCCTTGTCACCTCAGCCAGTCCCTGTTCCCAGTTGTTCCAACCTGTTTTCAAAGCAAAGACTGTGTGGAATCTTTTAACATTCTCACCAGGGCTTCAAGAACCTGCTCCCACATTGATCCCTGCAGCTACAAAGGCTCTGGGAACACTGAAGGTTTGGAGTCCAGCACCATCTCTGGTTTTCAGGGATGGGAAAGACAAAAGGAAAAAGTGAAAGGGAATCAAGACAGACCCCTTTGGGTTTGCACAAAGTGCTGAGGCTCCTGCAAGGGCTTTGTTTCCCTTCCCACCTCCTTTGAAAGCCGTGGGAAAAAGAGAAAAGGAAGAAGCAGTTTGATTTCTGTGGCCTGGAGTCCTTCCACTGTCTCAGGTTGCTCCAACCTGGCCTTGGACACTTCCAGGGATCCAGGGGCAGCCACAGCTTCTCTGGGAAACTGTGCCAGGGCCTCCCCACCCTCCCAGGGAAGGATTCCTTCCCAATATTTAACATAAACCATCTCAGGGACCACCCTCAGACTCCACTGTCTCCTCCTTGGTTGTCACCCACCAGCACCATCCTCACATCCCACCCCAGGTGACACTTCCCTGGCACAGGGGCCACCGAATGTGCCCCCAGGGCAAGGCTGGCACATGAATAATTCAGGAATGACATCAAAGTTTCCTTGAGCTGATGCATTGATTAGACCAAATTGCCTCCCTCGCCCTCGAGGAGGTAAAGATGAGCTAATCACCGTTTGTTCTCTCTCAGATAGATGATTAACCACAAATTAGAATATTAAACAGAGGACTTTGGGTACGTAAATTAACGGCTGAGAACTGAGTTAATTATTGGAGGAGCCAGAAAACTGCTTCTTTTTAATTCTTGCATTATTGTTTGATTTTTTTTTTTTTTGGGGGGTGGGGGCTCTTTTGGAGAGGGAGTTTTTTTTAAAATGGCTTGTTCTGCTGTTGTGGCTGTAGGAGCTGGGACACACAGGGTAAATGACACCAGTTTGAAGGCACAGCCTCACTTTGCCCTCCCTAACTCAGTTTTCCAACCACCAGACGCAAATTTCAGAAGCACAGGATATTTCTGGGGTCAGAAGGGACCTTGAAGATCATCCCCTTCCATGGGCAGGGACACCTTCCACTAGCCCAGGTTGCTCCAAGCCCTGTCCACCCTGACCTGGGACACTTCCAGGGGTGGGGCAGCTCCTCTGGGAAGTCTCCCCGGGCCAGATGCTGTGCAAGGAGCTCCTGTTCCTCCCTGAGCCCAATTAGTGGTGCCAACAGTGACAGTGGTGGCACCAGGCCACGGGCACAGAGAGTCCTGTCCCCTCCTCCCCGGGGTCCTGCCACGGTGCTCCCACACCCGGCAAAGGGGGAAGGAGCTGCTGACAAAAAGGCTGATTTAATTACTAGAATTGTTCTGATTACAGCCTGCAAACACTGTTATCTTGTAATTATTGCCAAGAACATGCCATTAGCACATGATTAAACACAACGTCTTGTGGGCTGCTGCTGATTGTCTGATGCCTTATGAACTTAATTACTTCGTGCTGATCGAGAGCAACTGCAGGGCTGGAATGGGGCAGTGGCTCCAGAGGGCAGAGCTGGGGCACCCTGCAAAGAAGGGGCCCCTCAGCTCCTTTTTCAGGTGCTTGGCCTCAGCCAGAACCCAGCCAGGGGCAGGATCAGCACCTCAGTCCTTCCCTTGCTCTGCCACAGACCAAGATTCCTCCCAGACAAAAGGTGCCAGGACAGAAAGCTCTTGCTGCCCGTGGAGTGCCACCAACTGCACCCGACCCCCAGAGCTCCCAGGCTTTTCTTTCCTGGGTTTGATGCCTCTTGTCCCGTGTTTAAACTCAGCCCCCTGGAGCTGCCAACACACACGGGGCACCAGCCTCCTGCCCAGGGCTCTCTAAAAGCTCAGGAGCCTCCGTTCAGCAGAGAAAAAACCCAGAGGTTTGCTGGGTTTGAGCAGATGGGAAGGTGGTTTTGGGGGTGCCTGGGGGGGTCACGGGATAGCCCCATGGAGGGGTGGGTGGATTTGGGATGCTGATCCCCCCCCCTCACATGCAATCCCAGGACATGCCCTGGGGCCTGGCAGGCAAAGTGAGGGGGTCCCTGCTGTTGGGGGGTGAAGGTCCTGCATTCCCAGCTCCCCCATCCCTGGGAGCCCTCCAGGACGAGCCCAGCGGTGCCTTCCCAGCCCGGGAGCACTTTGGGTTCCTCCCAGGAAAAATCAAGCAGCTGCTGCCTCAGGGACCCTTCAGCACCTCTCACAGGCTGTCACCCTGCCCTGGTGACAAGGACAGACAAACCAATCCTGACATCTCATTAGCAGGATTAATTTTCAAGCTCGTTCTCCTCCCGGATGAGGAATTGGCACTTCCACTTTCCACCTCTCCCTTGGCCCCCGGACTGCCCGGGCTCCAGCTGAGCCAAGAGCAGGAAAAACACCCCCCTCCCCTGCTTTCCCTCCCCTCCTGCCCTGGAAATCGGTGCTCAGGTGGTCTCTGGCTGCTCACCTGCATCCTCCGTGCCCCTCTGTGCTGCTGCTTCCACAGGATCCTTCCCCTCCCTGCAGGAACCACAGCCTCAGCTCCAAGCTTGGACTTTCCAGGCACCAAACTCCTGGAAACTTGGAATGAAGGTGCTGTGGGTGCTCAGAGCAGGCTGTGCTGGCCGTGCCCACAGCTTGGAGGGGAGGAGCAGGGGGTGCTGCCCACCTGGGCAGGTGCCACAGGACAACCCATCACCCCAAACAATTGCTTCCAGGCCCATCTTCATTAACTGGTGGGCTTTTCCTGGAATCATTAAGGCTGGAAAAGACCTCCCAGGTCATCAAGTCCCACCTTCCCACACCTGTCCTCCCATGGAGCCCAAGAATTTTTGGCTCATCCCCATGTCCTTGCCCCAGCCTGATGCTCCTGGGATGAGGCCTTGCATGGCATGGGGAAAAACCCCTGGAAACACAGCTTGACTGCTGAATCCCACCTCACTGCAGTGGGGGGAGTGGGATCTCACCCTCCCACCCCCCAGTGCCACTGGGCAGAGTGCCCATGTGGCTGTGCCAGGGATGCTGCTGCTGCTGGAGCTGCTGCTTTTCCCTGATCCCAAGGGATTCACTGCACACAACTCCGTGCAGGATCTGCTTTCCTGGAGTCAGGAAGGTGTTAAAAAGTGGAGAAGAAGGTGAAAAAGCTGCTGTTGGGGAGGAGTGGGAGGCAGGGGAGCCCAGGAAGGTGCTGCCTGACCCCAGTCACTGCTCCGAGCTCTGTTTGTGTCTCTCCCAAAAGATAATTCCCATTGCAATAACTTTGCTCCCATCAGGAGGCAGCCTGGTGTCAGATCCAGTTTTGTAACCCGCCCAAAAATGCCTTTCCTTTTTCCCTTTCGTCCTTTTCTTTCCTGTCTTGCAGGGAAAAAAAGGAGAGAAAATCCCCAGCTGATTTGCTGCTTTATAGAGTCGTGTGGAGCACGAGCAAATCAATACAACAAACTGTTTCCATGTGATTCCTGAATAAACAAGGTCCCAGGCAATTCAGCCGGGTGCCTGTCATGCTCAGGTACCCTGTGGATCACGGGCTGAAATGAACCCAAGATGTCTCTTTGCAGGATTTAATCACAGCTCGAAATTTCTCCTCTCTCTCCTCAGCACCAGTCGGGCTGGAGGAGGCAGTTTGTGTGCCCAGGCACGGAATTTTGGGGGAAAGGGGATACAGAGGTGAGGACAAGGAGAAGTGGTCAAAACAAGAGGCACAAAATATCAGGGAAGCCCAACCTGAGGGATGCCTCTCCTTGTTTTTTCCTTGTTTGCTCGTGGTTTTCCCCTGGTTTTTCCTGTTTTCCCCTGTTTTTTTCCTGTTTTTTTCCTGTTTTTCCCTGTTTTTTCTCCTGTTTCCTTCTTTTTCCCTGTTTCCCTGGTTGCACCCATTTCTCCATCTCCTTTTGGGCCGCCCAGTTCCTTCCTGGAGGTCCCTGAACCTCTTGGCAAAGAGCATCCTAAAGACACCAAGCCACCCTGCTCTCCCAGCTCTGCTCCCAAGTCCAGCTCCTGCTTATTTCGAGTCAATATTTTTCCCTTTGTAGCTCGAGAAAACACAAACGTTTGGCATTAAATCCCATTTCCTCCTCCTTATTTATTTATTTACAGCCCCGCAGAGCATTAAATCTCCACGTGTCAGCCACCAGGCTCGTATTTCAGCCACACAATGGCCAGAGGTGCTTGGGAGGGGACCCAGGAGGGGGTTTTTTTTTAAGGATTTGGCTCAAAGTGGAGCTGGATTTCCATAAATCCCTGCTCGTGTCTGCGGCGAGTCAACACTGGAACAAACTGTGTCAACAGCACTGGGAGACAGGAGGAATACAACAGTCCCCACAAAAATCCATCTTTCCACAGGGATGGGTTGAAAGGTGCCCTGTTCCTCCTGGGATGAGCTGGCTCCCTGTCTCCAGAGAGCAGGACGGGGTTTCCTGGCACTGCAAACCCGGCTCTGGGGCTTCTCCCGCGGGATAAAACCCCTCCGTGGCTCTGGGACAGACCCAGGATAAATCCCCTGGGCTGGTTCCTGTTTGCTCAGGCAGCTCTGAGGGGCTCTGTGTGTGTGACAGCTTTGTGCTGGCTCAGGTGCCAGCCCTGCCCCTGCAGGGCTGCATTTCCTCCTGGTGCTGTGCTGAGCCAGCTCTGGTTGTCCCACCAGGACTGCACATCCCAGGACCAGGGGCTGCACAGGGTCATTAAGATTGGAAAAAGCCTCCAAGGTCATCAAGCCCACCCTGTGCCCCATGCCCACCTTGTCCCCCAGCCCAGAGCACTGAGTGCCACGGCCAGGCCTTCCCTGGACACCTCCAAACCCTCCTGGGCAGCCCCTTCCAATGTTCAACCAACCCTTCCATGGAGAAATTCCTCCTGATGTCCAACCTGCCCCTCCCCTGGCACAGTTTGGGGCCCTTTCCTCTTGTCCTGTCCCTTGTTCCCTGGGAGCAGATCCCGACCCCCACTGTAAGAAAGCCACCCCCTGACTTTGTGAAGAGTTCTGAGGTTGGGGCGAGGGGAAAAAAAGAGATAAAATGGAGTATTTTCAGTTGGCAACCAAATTTAGATTGGGTTGTGGCAGGTCAGGTAGGGTACAAACATTTTTTGCACCCCCAGGAAAGCAGATCTTCTCACTTCCAGCTTTCCTTCACAATAAAATAAATGAGTCCACAGCACCCACATCAGTGTGAGAGGCCAAAATCTGCTGGTTATTCTGATTGTGTGGACACACAGGAAAAGGTCCTCTGAGGTGTTTTAAACCATTTCCTGCTCTTTACAACCCCCCCCCTCCTTTTTTCCAACACCCCAAGCCACGAAACTGGGAGCCTGCAAGGTCTCATTGTCGGGATCCTTCCCAAGTGATGGCAAAATTCAGAATCAGGACAACACTCCTGAGGGCATCTTTCATTCAAGATCCTCAGCTCCTTCCTAAAATCACTGTATTTTCAGGTCTGCTTTCAGACCATCCCCTTGCTTGTGACCTGCCCTTGTGCCTCGTCCCTGGCACTGCCCACGCTCCCCCTGGGGTGGATTTTACTCCCTGCCAGAACAGGAGGTGTAAGGAAATCAATCTAAGCTGATGGGGCTCCTAATGGCAGGTTAGGGAATAAGGGAAGCATTAATATCCACCTCCTTGTAAGCCTGGAACAGTAGGGTCCCAAAATTCAAATCTCTTCTGCTTCAGGGACTTTAAATGAGGCAAAGATGAGGCTTGACCCTCGAGCCACAAGCTCCTGCTG